TCATCCCACATACCGAAAGGCTGTGGGTCCGATCTTGGGTTGGGGCACCTATGGGGAAGCACCAACTGACCCATGTTCCTCTCTCACGGCGATGTTTCCCTCCCTCTTCCTATGTCTGTCTGTCTGTCTGTCTGTCTGTCTCCCCCCCACCCCACTCCTCTTCCTCTAAAGTCAATAAGCTTATCTTTTGGATGAGGGTAAAAAAACTACAAAACAACATATAGAGAAATGAAAAGTAAACTAGATAAATGAATGACATAGTGTGTTCGTGATTAAAAATTGTTAAGATGGTAATTCCTCCAAATGCATTCACTGTAATTTCAATCAAAGTCCTAAGTAGGTTTTTCATTTCTGAAAATTACCAAGCTTATTCTACAATTAATATAAAATGCAAAGGACCAATAAAAAGTAAGATATGCTGGAAACAGATGCATGAATCTCAAGGGCCAACATTCCCAAACATTAAAAGTTATTATAAAACTATGGTAATTACACCTGTGTGGTACTGAGACAAGAATAAGCAAGTAGACAAGTGAAACGCAGCAGTCCAGAAGCAGACCCTTCAGGGTTAGGACTAATGTACCTCGGCAGTGCAGTGGGGAGAGGCTGGTTGTTCCAATAAATTACACTAAGTCAATTAAGTAACGTGATGAAAAACTAAGTATTGATACATATCTTACATCATACACAGAAATCAGTTCTAGATAAACTGTTAATTTAACTGTGCAAAGAGAAAACAGACAGAGAAAAAAAGTGTAGGAAAATACCTACATTTTTTAGAATAGAGTAAGTAGAAACATTTTAGAATAGAACACAAAAAGGTTATGCACAAACAGAAAAGATTATAAAATGGACTACATTAAAAATAATAATTTCCATTTATCAAACACAGCATTAAAATAATACAAAGACAAGTCGTTGAGCAGATGATTTTTGCAATATGTGTGCCCATCAAAGTATTTGTACACAGAATATGCAAAGAGTTCTACAGATTAACAACATATAGAGACAACCAATTAGAAAATAGGCCAAATAACTAATATACATATAAACGCAAATTCAATCAAAATGACAACTTTTCCTTCCTTACCATAAACAGCTAGAAAATTGGACAAATCATATGAAACAATGGTTTTCGGATGTCGACCAACAGGCCAGGTGATCCCTCTGTATATTTGAGCTTTCTGGCTGGGTAAGTCCTATGCATTTTTCGACTTTCTAGATCAAGTGCAGCACAGGAGACCTGCTGCACTGAGATGGCAGGCCTTAGAATTAGGGAGGCCAAAGCAGCTGGAATTTTTGGTACGGGGTGTAGGACAAGTTTGACTTCTGCAGAAAAAGCCCTCCAGGACCTGAACATGAGTCACCTTATCTTTTTTGGTGCTAAGCCGTATTTTCCTCTGCAGGAGGCCAAATTCCAAGAGGCTGGGCCAAGGTCTGCAGATTGAGCAACCCCAAGGATTCTGAAAGGTCCGGAGGCAATGGTTGGAACGGAGAGGCCCGGTCGCTTGCCTGAGGCATTCAGAACAACCGAAAAGAATAAAGCCTTGGAAGGTGAGTCCCACATTTCCACAAAAAAACTTTGAAATAAACGTCAAAAGGAACAAGCTCATCTACAAGTAAGTTAACTCTCTGCCAGAACAAGTATTAGTGCCCTTTGAAGGAACATAAGAAACCCAGACATTCATCAGTGAAATATTAAAAATGTCCAACATCCCATACAAATTACTAAATATGTGAAGAAGCAGGAACATGTTTCTCAAAATTAAGAGAAAAATCAGTCAAAATAAGGCCATGAACAAGAGAAATGATGGATTTAGCAACAATTACTTTAAAATAGTTATAAATACTTTGAAGAATTCAAAAAGAAAACAAATTAATGGAATGAGCATATAAATGGAAGATACAGAAATAGATCAAATGGAATCCTGGAATTAAAAATTATATTAGAAATGAAGATTTCATTGGAAGGGCTTATTAACAGACTAGCAAAAGAAAACCTACCCATCAATGTTTCTCTCTCTCTCTCTCCCCCTTGTCCTCTCTCTCTAAAATCAATGAACACATCCTCGGATGAGGATTTTTTAAAAAGATATGAAGATTTGTATAAAGCTAAAACAATTAAGACATAATATCAGCATAAAAATAGACAACTACACAGAACCCAGAAAATGACCCAAGCAATGTCGATTTATGACCATAATTTATGACCAACATGGAACTAGAAAACAGTGTGAAAAGGTCTTTTCATAAACAGTCCTGGGATGATTAGGTGCCCTTATAGGGAAAGAGAGGAACTTGGTTTGGTTCTTCACAGGACACAGAAAGCAATTGCAGGTGCCTGAGGATCTGAATGTCAGAGACAAAACAGCTAAAATTTGTGAATGATAAAAGAAGTCTTCATGACATCAAGATAAAGATGTCTTTTAAAGATGCAAATAGTCCCATCGCAAGGAAAATAACTCATAAGGGTCCTATATTAAAATTAAGCTCTCCAGACCCCTCCCCCTGCCCCGAAAGGACGCCACTGCGAGAGTGAGGAGAAAGACTGTGAGTGGGAGAGGGGGCTGGAAGCCCACTGCGGTCCCGTGCGTTTTCCAAAGGCAGCCTCGGCGGCCTCTCCCGTTTCAGCCGCCCTCTGCGGCCTGCCTCTGCCTCTCCGCTTCCAAGAACTGGAGGGCGTGTCCCCTGGGCAGGCTGTGACTACCTTGAAATCGTGTCCTACGTGCCGCTCACCCTGGGGAAGCCAGCTCAGCGGCCTGGAGACTACCGCGCTGGAAGAGCCGCGAATGGGGTCGCCGGCGCACAGCCCCAGACAGGCTCCGGGGGGATCGGCGGCGGCCGCCCGCCGTCCGTCCAGTCAGGCCCTCAGGTGGCTGGCGACAGCCACGGCAGAGACCCTTGGGAGAGAATTACCCCGCCAAACTCTTCTCAGATTCCCGGCTCTCAAAGGCACGAGCAAAAACACACACTGCTGTTCCCCACCGCCCGGCTTTGGAGTAACTTGTCACACAGCAGTGACAGCCAGAACTGGGCAGGACTCGTATCCAGAACATGTAAAGAGCGCCGACCAATCAGTAAGAAAGAGACAGTAGCAGGGAGCAAGAGGCCAATTATAAAGTGTGCTCAACCCCAACAGTAATGAAGGAAAAGCTCATGAAAACATAATGAGATAGACACGACTGCGAACCAACTAGAAGGGCTAAATTTTAAAAATCAAAACTGACAGCACTGTGCCGGTGGGGACGTGGAGCACCGGGCACTAGGTACCCTGCTGTGCGGCGCAGAAACGGCACCGTGGAGAAGCGTTGTCCCTGCCCGCGAAGCTGAAGACCCGCCTTCCGTGACCGGCCAGGGTCACTGCCAGACACGCGCCCTGGAGACCGGGCTCGGTGCACCGGGAAACCGGTACGAGAGTGGTCGTAACGGTAAGAGCTGACACTGGGAACAGCCCCAACGCCGTCAGCAGCGCAGAACGCAGACTGCGCGCAGGACCGGGCGGCCGCGGGGTCTGCCAAGGGGCCCGAGCAGAAGCCTGCCCGGGGACGGGCCCACTTAAATAAGGTTTAAAAAAACAAACAAAATACGTATTTTGGTAATAAAATGACCAAGAAAAGCAGAGGAATGATAAAGCCAGGATTTGGGGACTGGGGCGGGGTTTGTGATGAGAAGGGGACTTCTGTTACCCTAGTGCCCGTCTATATCCCTTGATCTGGGGGTGAACATACAGGTGTTTGCTTTACATTGTACCTTTATAATACATTCATATATGCTTTCCATATGTGTTACATCGCACAAGATTTTTTTTTTTAATTTCCAATAAAAAATATTGGAAGAAAATCAATACATGGGTGAGGGAAAAAATCTAACTTCATTGACTCTTTGATTTCCTAGTTTCCCCCATTTATTTATTTATTTTCTTCTTAGAGAGAAGGGCGGGGTGGGGGGAGAGGGAGAGAAACATGATGCGTGAAACATCCGTGGGTTGCTTCCTGCGCCCGTACCCCGGACCCGGCCTGCGGCTCAGGCCTCTGCCCTGACCGGGAATCGAACCCTAGACCTTACTGTTCGCAGGCCGGCGCTCAGTCCACCGAGTCACGCCAGCCAGAGCAGCCACCACTTTATGTATTAAATCATCAAAGCGGACCTCCCTGATTTCTGATTTCAACGTAATGAGATACTCAATTCCTGCTTACACTTGAGGGTTGGTAGTGGTTGTTACCAACAACCTGGTCTTGGCTTCTGGCCAGGATGAATGTGGGGAAAGTGTGAGCGAAGTAGAATAAAGGGAAGGGAGGGAGGTAGTCATTGTCATGGGGTGTATTTTACATCGGAAAATTCTAGAGACAGAACTGAAAAGAGAAAGGAAGTCTGCGGGAGGGTTGCCAAGTCAGAGAGTAAAGTGTCACCTGATAAAAGGACTTATGAATGAGCTCAGAGCAAAAGTATTTGAGGGAGATCTAGCGAGGGGGTGGCGAGCACGCGGGAGGGGGAAGCGGGACCTGGACCTCCACCCACAGCACGTAGGGGTCAGATGAAATCTGTGGAATGTTCTCAAAGATGTGACATATACCTATTTTTGTTATATTTATTGTGCCTTTTTTCGTACTTTAAATGTAGTATCCATTGATTTAAGAAAATACAGAAAAATACGCGGGGCCACATTGTGTTCAGCCTGGACTGCCGGGCTCCGTCCGTTCCGGTTTAAGCGCGCAACCAGCGACTGCGTGTCACCTGTGGTCCCGCCCGGAGCGGCGCTGGGCGCTCAAGAGCGGCGGTCCACCCGGGAGTGGGCACTCCCCAGCCCCCGCCGCCGGCGCGGGCACCCTCCGCCCGGGCCGGGCGCCCCCTCGGCCGGGGCGGAGCCGAGAGGTGCGAGGGGCGGGCCGAGGCCCGGCACCGCCCCGCGCGCCCCGCCCCGGCCCCGCCCGGCCCGGCAGCGCTCACACTCGGGCACCGGCGGGAGGCCGCGCAGGTCGGACCGCGCCGCAGCGGCGGAGATGCAGCGGGGCGCCGCGCTGTGCCTGCGCCTGTGGCTCTGCCTCGGACTGTTCGACAGCGAGCGCGGTGAGCTCTCCGCCGCCCGAGTGCGCGGCTAGCCGCTAGGGGTCCTCTCTCCCGGGGCGACGGGCGGGACCGCGCCGACGGGTACGGGCCGCGTCGGGGCGCCCGCAAGCCTGGGCGCCAGGGTGGACGGGACCGGGAGCCAGGGGCGCGGACACCGGACGGAGCACGCCGGGCCGGGCCGGGGCCGGCCGAGATGAGGAAAGGGCGGGCGGGGACTGCAGCCGGGTCAGGGACGGCGCTCCGGCCGCACCGCGGCGCAGGAATAGCGCCCGGGTTCCCGACCTCGCCCCGCCGTCGGTGCACCGGCGACCTCGGCGCCCTCCCGGTCGCGCTGCGTTCTCATTCTGGGCCCTTTGCTCCCTCACTCGCTCCCCCGCGGAGATGGGGCCCTCGGACCCGCGAGCGCCCGCGATCGCCCCAAAGCAACGAGGCGGCAATCCCGCCGAGCCGCAGACTTGGGTGCGCACTTCCCGACGCCTCCCGTCTGCGCTCGGGGGCGGTCGGCCCCCCAAGAGGGCGCTGCCGGCAGGCTCCTACCTTCCCCAGGCCAGGGACTGCGGGGCCGGGGTTCGGGGACCGCTGCAGGCAGGCGCGTCCTCAGGAGGATTGCACGCAGGTGCCTCTCGGAATTTGAGGCGAATCTTGAGTCGGCAACTTGTGAGCGGTCAGCATGACAGGAGAGGCAGGAGGCCGGCGCTCCTAGTGTCTGGGGTGCAGGGATCTGCAAGGCTGAGCCAAGCATCCTGGCCACAAGGCAGGGGCCAGCACGGAAGGGCCTGAAGCGCAGGAGACGCAGGGTCCGGTGTGTGCCGGGAGCATGAGCGGAGGTCGTCGTTGGCCTGGGGGCGGGGGAGGGGGGGTGGCGGAGCGGGGGGGCGGATGGTGAGAAAGGGACAGCCGGGCGTGGATGGATGGATGGGGATGGCAGAGGTAAAGCATCCGTAGTGGAGGAGGGAAGAGGTGGAATTCCACACAAGGCCTGGTGACCCTGGAAATTAGAGGGTAAGAGGGATGGTCGTGAGTCCCCAGGGCTGTGGGGGCGGGATCCTGGGAGGTCTGAAGGGAGGGATGGGGGCTCAGCATTTTGGAAAACCGTGGGCAGTAAATACTGGCTTTACACGCTTCATCTCTTTTAAACCTCACAAAGAAGTGTTAGCCCCATATTTCAGATGGGGACGCATAGACCCAGGACAAATATAATGTCTCCAAGGTCCCCAGGGGGCCAGAAATGAAGTAGTCAGCCCAGGTCTTTGGGCGAACAGCGGTCAGGGGCTGGGGGAGGCGCAGGAACGTCCAGGGAGGTGGGAGGAGGCATCTGCCTGGGTCTCAGGCTGGACCAGCCTGTACTGACCCTGCCACCCCGAGTCCTTCCCGTCCCCTGCACCCAGCCCAGGGCCAGGCTCTCACAGGTGCTCACTGTGTCTGTTGACTGACTGAGTGAGTGTGGGAGGTGAAGTGAATGGGTCCCTGGTTGGACCGTGGAGGGCCCTGCCCCGAGGAGACATCAGGCCGCTGAGTGCGGTGTTTGAGAGAGGGGCTGGGCTGGGTGCTGGGGAGGGAGCGGCGCTGAGGGTCCGGGGTGAGGCGCCCTCTCCCTGAGGGGCGGAGAGGGAGATGGGGACTCTGCAGGGTGTAAGGACCAGCAGAGGCTGGCATCCTGGGGCCCAGGAGCCAAAGGGCGGAAGGCGCTGAGGCCAGCCCTGCTGTGAAGACAGGCGATTCTTGCCCGAGTTGGGCGGTGGAGGTGGGGGAAGATTTTAGCAGAAGGGCCCCCCCGGGGGGGTGGCCCAGGCTGGACCAGGGCCCAGCTGGGGGTCAGACGCCCCCACAGAGTGGAGGAGTCCGCTGCTGGCTCTCTGAGCCCCCGCTTGCCCGCCCGCTGCCTGGCAGGAGGGCTCGCCCCATGGGGGGCGCTGGGGCAGACGCAGACACCCCGCTGCTGCCGGTGAGCGGCAGTGCAGCTGGCTTGGGGGGTGCGGCGCTGGCAGGAGAGCAGCCTGGGGTCCCTGAAGCCGACCCCTCAAAGGTTGCTCTTGGTCCTAGAGGCAGGCCGTTGTCCCAGCTGTCCCCCTAAGTCCCCCTTCGCTGCCTGGCCTGGGCCCGTCTCTTCCTCTCCCTGCACCTCAGTTTCCCCAGGAGTGGCGGTGAGACAGGCTGGCAAGTACTAAGGGGCCACGTCTGGGCTGGACTTCATGACCTGGTGTCTTAGTCCACTTGCAAAAAGCCTTGCTCGTGTCCCTGTAGACGGGGCAGGTGGCAGAGGTCAGCCCCAAGGGGCTTTGTCTCGTAGTCTAGAGAGGCTGTTTGCGCCTCTGGACAGTGGGCAGTCAGCTCAGGGCCATTCAAGGGAGGCAGGCGACCGCTGGGCAGCTGGCCGCACTGGCCTGAGGACGATGGCCCCTGCCGTGAGCTGAGTCGCACATGCTCACCGCTGTCCCAGCTCCTCAGCCCTGAGCCGGACCCAGGTGTGTGGGGCGGGGTGGGGGGTCAGGGTGGCAAGTTGGCACAGGCAGAGTGTGGGGCCCGGGCCCACATGACTTGGTGCCCGTGGACCACCGGCCCCAGCTCAGAGCTCCGGGGCGCCAGTATAGGTGCTGCTCACGCGCCCACCAGGCCTCTGGGTCAGTGTGGCGGAGGGGCTCTGCCCTCCCAGAGCACGGTGGTCGCGAGGTGACACAGGGCACCGGCCAGACAGCCCCTGGCTGCGCCCCCCCCAGCCCCCAGGCCGGGGCGCCTGACCCCGAGAAGGCAGCTGCCGTCCCGTGCACGGCACACGCTGTGGTGCTCGGGGTGGTCCGGGGGGTTTGCACCCGGATCTGTCCTGCAGGGATTTCCTCAGTGTCAGACGATCAGGGACACAGATGTGGCATCAGACATCTAGCATAGGGACAAAAGTGCTCAGTGACCCCAGTGGCCCAGCTGGTGGCTGCACAGGAAGGCAGCAGCACTTCCAGCCGGGGCTTCCTGGAGGGGTCGGCAGACTCCTGGGCAGTGAACACCAGGCAGAGGAGAGGCACCCTCAAAGACCCAGAGGCAGGAAGCCCTAGCCGTGCATGGGGGTATGAGGGTGGTCGGATGAGGCTAGAGTCTGGGGTGGGGGGAGACAAAGCCGGTGGAAGTGGCAGGAGCCCGCGGCACACCTGGGAAGGCCCGGTCCCTGCAGACACGGTCCGGGGCACGGACCGGCTGGAGCCCGCAGCAAGGAGGCTGCGCGTGGGCCAGGGGAGGCACCAGGGGAGCCGGCAGCAGCGACTGGGGACGGTGCGGAGAGTGGGACAGGGCCCGTCCCTGGCTTAAGCAGTGGTGCAGGCCATGCGGTCGCTGACCAGATGGGGGCCCCGGGAGCAGGGTCGAACGTGGGGAAAGGGAAGGCGCACCCCGGGGGAGGCAGGTCCTCTGGGCCCAGGCGTCCACAGGACGTCCCAGGAGACCCCGGCTGCTGCAGTTCGGCCAGACAAGGAAAGAGGAAAGGCGGGAGAGCTTGCGTAGGATGGGGCTGAGGGGAGTCGGGGAACCCAGGGAAACGAAGGGGGTCTTAGCCGTGAGGGAGGCTCTCTAGGTCTGCCTTGCACCCCTCCCACTACTGCCCGGGTGCCATCCTCCCCGCGGCAGCCTGCTTCCCACCCAGGCCTCGCGTGGGCCCCGCAGCCCTCTGAGATCCCCTTGGAGAGGCCAGCAGGCGGGAGAGGGGTCCGGAGAGCCACTGACACTCCTGCATCCACCTCTGAGCAAGGCCCTGCCGACATGTCCGGCTGCAGCCAGGGATTCCTGAGTTTCGATCCTTTTCAGACACTGACTTCCTCTGGGATCTTGGTTTTCCGGTAACACCGAAGGCAGGAGTCTGGGAGAGGAAGGTGCGGGTCTGCATCGCACGGGGGCTGAGGCGGGGCAGGCCGGCAGCCAGCACTCCCTGCCCTGGGCCGGGCCGGGTGTGGGTGGCCCCTCCAACAGGCGAACAGGCGCGGGCCAGGGTGGTGAGTGGGGGAGCCCCGCCACGTGGCCAGCGAGGTCAGCAGGGGTTCATGGGAAAGGACTTGTCGGCCCCAGAAGAGGACATCCTGCCTGTATTTCCCTCTTCCTGCAGCAGGAGCCCACGGCCCCGATTTAGCAGCGCTAGGGGGCCACCTCTGAGCCAGCTGGGCTGTCTGATAACACCGCCTCCTGACCCCAGGCAGGCGGGGCAATGCCCGGCACAGCTGGCTGCACCCTCAGCTGTGTTGCACCAGGAGCTGAGCATCTGCCAGGGCTGCCTCCTCCCTCCCTCCCTCCCTCCCCGCCCTTCCGGGGGTACTCAGGCAGTCCCCACTCCCACGCAGCCTCAGCACCACTCCCTGCTTCCCAAAGCTGCTCCAGGAAGACGTCTCTAAACCAGAGACCTGAGCCTTCAGTGGCCCCACGGTGCTCAGCACGAGCTTCCCGGACAGGCACAAGAGGTCCTCATGCTGGAGTCCCCAGGACATCCCCAGCCCCGCGTCCACCCAGCCTGTGCCCGCCACACGCCCCAGCCACAGCGCACTCCCCATCTGCGCTGCCCATCACCCTGCCTTTCCAAGGCTGCGGAGAACCCCAGGCAGGGGCTCTGAGTGGGAGGGGCCTACCGGGGACTGGGGGGGGGGGGTGCTTCATTCCCACTGCTGGGTGTCCTGCGAGCCCGGAATCCAGGTGTTCGGTGGGCTTGAGGGAAGCTCTTATCTTCACTCAACCTAAATTACTCCGCTCCGAGCTCCCCTAAACTTCACCAGAGGGAGGTTTGTTTGCCTTGAGCAGCACAGAGGCCCAAGCACGCACACTCACACAACTGCACGCACACACGCACACTTAACCGTTGGGGGTCAAGCCGCCCCTCTGCACAGTGGGTCGCCAGGCTGTTTTGCACTGTGGTGTGTGAAGGTTTTAACCGTGCAGCACAGGGTTCCTCCACCCATTTGGAGACTAGGCAGTTAAGGCCAGAGGGGTGAAGTGGCTCACTAGATGCTAGAGCAGCTTTGAGGGGCGTGACA